GACCCCCGCCGTTTTTTCCCTTTTTCCCCCGGGTTGCAGGAGGGGGTGGAGAGCTTGCCCCAGGGGGGGGAGTTAGGGCTCGACCACGGGGGAGACCCCGCCTTTCCCGATCGCACAGGGGAGCCCGGGAGTGGCGGACCCCAGGATTTTACGCTCACCCGGCCCGCCGCCGCCACTGCCGCCCCGGGGTGTAGCACGAGACACAGCAGCAGCCGTGGTCGCTGTAAAAGGGGACGGGGAGGAAGCGAAGGCTCGCCAGTGCGCGACGAAGTTCCGGGTGAGGCAGGAGCAAATCGCCTGCCGCTGCTGCTCCGCGAAGCCCGCCCAGTTCTTGAGGCAGAGGTTGGCGAGCGCATCCAGCGCGGCGTGCCTTCGCGTGTACGGGAAAGGAGACGGCGAGCGCGTGCGGGGGGGGGGGGGGGGTTGACGCGCGGGTAGCCCCTTGGTGCTAAAAAAAAAGTGCAGGCTCCAAACTGAAAGTAGTGCGCAGGCGTGGGGCGTCGATTCTATACCCCGTGCGCCTAAAACGAACTCGTCATATTGTTAGGACAAAAAATAACTAGTAGACCCCACAAAACTACTTCCGTTGAGTGATCACTATGTACAGCAATGCCCCCAGACACAAGACAACGGGTGTTAGTTGCTGGAAGCCCTCACCAGAATCAACGAGGCGTGTTATTTACCCCGCGGGAACGCGATGAATTCGTTCAAAAAACAGCCTACAAAAATCCCCCCAGCAGCAAAAACCCACTCGTCCTCCTCCCCTCTTAAGCTTGCCAAAAGTCCCCAGCGTTCGTTCACACCTGGTGTCTAGGTCGATCGCCGAAGGGTCCGCCAGTCGGAGAAGCGGCGGCACGACATCGTCGAACCGCGTGCCGAGGCGCTCGCCGTTCTCGTAGAGGAGCTGCGCCAGGGCTCGAGTGCAGTCGCGTTGGCCCGACAGCGGCCGCGGCGGCCGCGGCGGAGGCGGCGAGTCTTCCTCCGCGGGTGCCGGCGGTGGCGGCGGCGGTGCTACCTGCACCTCGGCGGCCGCGCTCGGCAAGGAGGCCACGAACAGGTCCAGCACGATGTTCAGCTGCCAGGCCAAGAAGGACACCCTCTGCTGCTTGGCACAGAGCTGAAATCACCGTGCACATGGCCGCCGTCGTCGGAGTTTCGTCGCCGGAGCGAGCGACATGGGTCGTTCGGCCGGGTCGGGTGCACCAGCACGAGTAAGGGTTGAAGGGGGGAGGGCACGGGGGGGGGAGGGGTTAACTCATAGTCATGCATGCAGTAGTCGGTAGACCATTGACCTCGCATCCCTACAAAGCCGGGACGGAGCACGCCGGGTTCTCACCGGACCAGGCTATCACATCACCAAGCGCGAAGCACCGTCAGGTATTCGGCGAGTTGCATGAAGGGTGAGCTGCATCCTGCTAAGGGTGTTCGGCATCTTTCGCTTACTTCCTTGCGTACGGATGACCGCTGCGTATGACTTAATTTATTTTCTGGTGCTTTCACTTCCAGAAACAGTTATAAGCACTGTGTAACTGCTTCGAGGGTGCTTGACCATTTTAACACAACATGGTGCGATTATCCCCTTTGCGCGGAGTGAGGGTTCTCAACCCCGCACAACATAATCTACTCGACCACCATTATGGTTACCGCCCCCCAAAAAAACAGAGGTACGGGGGGGGGGGGGGGACCTAAGGAAGGCGTTGGTTTCCTTGGGGTTTAGCAGCTTAGTCTTGAAATATTTTTTACCGAGGGCTGGGGCATCCATAGTTATCGCTGTTGTGATGCCACCTTAATGGACATCGGCAAAGGGATCCTGGAAGATAAGTACAAGATACGGAGACATCGCGGGTTCAAAACCTTGACATCCTGAGTGCAGGTCCTGTTTCTATTGCAAATTCTGGCCGTGCCTGGCGTGAACGAGTTCCTTCCTCACCAACTCGAAGAGCTGAGCCACCCTCGCGGAGAGCCCTCTCGAGCTCCGGGGGACCGCCTCGCACAGCGCCGATAGCATGAACCCCGCGTCTTGCGGGCTGGAACCAAGCGCGCACAAGCAGCATCCCAGCCAGGGGGGAAAATATCAGAAAAAAGCACAGCGTAAGGATAAGGAACCACTGCAACTACCACACATCACTGCAAGGTGGTCTGGCACTCATGATGTGAGCTGAAGCTTGCAAGTCTCCTAAATAGAAAGACAACCTGTATAGCAGGCACGGAGTGCGCATGGGTGTGTTGTGGTTCATACCGCCGACACGTGCCGCACCGAGGGTCGCACATAATCCTGTTTGATATGGTACTTGTTGGTGATGTCCTCATTCAAACGCAGGCAGCCATCCACGTAAGAGTGCCGACGATGTGCTTTTTCACGTCTTCCTCGAAGGGAACGGAGGACAACAACACCACAATCATCACCTTGGAGGCGGCTTCACTCCATACAGCACGCTTCACTCAATCGTGTGTTTGGAAGCTTCAGGGTCGTTAACCCCTTTGGGCCTAGGCTGGACTGTCAGATTTTGTTTTTTGCGCCAAAAATTATATATGAGAGCGAGAGCGAGAGAAGTGCAGAGAAAGACACCAGTGTACTTCTGCACACGCAACAGCTATCTCCACCTTTAGGCCATGAGGGAAGCCGGCGACAGGGTGGTGGCCACAGACAGGGCGTAGGAGGGTTGATGGGTGGTCGCGCTGCGGTCAGTAGGGCAGGTTAGCTTTGTAGACTTTGAAATGATCAGTCGTCTAGCTGGCTCAACTAGTCTATTTTCGGCGTATTGTACATGATCAGTCCAGAGAGGGTAAGATGATCAGTGAAGATGTGAAGACCCATAGCTGGTATTTGTACTTCTGTACTTCTCTGTTCTCTGCCCCCCCCCGAAATGTTCCCTGCCAGCTCTCTAGCACTCCTGTGTTTTTAAACAACAAGCACATTCACCAGCACACACCTGTACCTTGTGGTTTCCTAGGTTCGGGCAAGGGTATGTGTGGCGCCACGAGTGTGGATGTGTTGCTGATATATTTTACTCGTCTACAGCAGTAGTAGTACTGTTGTTGTAGCGTTTGTTGCAGCTGCTCACACAATGGGTGCTGGATCTTGGGAACGATTTTCAAATTGTTGGGAGATGCAGCATACCACGACATCCTCGATATCTGGGCTTCGGCAGGGCTTGCAATACCCCTCCCTTTTGCTGCCCTCTGCTCTTTGCAGCAGTGGCTACGTTCGGGCGAGTGTATGTGTGCTGCTGCGAAAGAACACATATGTATGTATGTATGTATGTATGTATGTATGTATGTATGTATGTATGTATGTATGTATGTATGTATGTATGTATGTATGTATGTATGTATGTATGTATGTATGTATGTATGTATGTATGTATGTATGTATGTATGTATGTATGTATGTATGTATGTATGTATGTATGTATATATGTATGCATGTATGCACACACGTTCATGTACATACGTTGAGAGATTCATGATTTGGCATTGATTGGCCCCATTCCCGAGACCTTGATAATACCCGCTGTCACTGACGTCTCTTCATTGGTCAGCCGGTTAGCGCGGGTGCTAATAATCGACACACCTATGGACTTGCCAATACACAGCGCGAAGGGCTGCAGGGCGGCAACTCCACGACTTGCCACTACACCAGCATTTGCAAATGATCAATCAATGATCAGTCAGAACGCCTGAAGACTCAAAAGGGTTAATAATGTCAGACTCAAAAGGGTTAATAATGTTCGTTAAAAGGTAAAAAGATCTATTATAGAGCTGTAGACTACCCCAAGCAATTTGGAATACATGGCTTGCTGATCGCAAAATGAGTGTATCGTGCGAGCGCGTTGACAGGTGCTTCGCAGGTTGCGAGTCCTGCTGGTGCGTGAGAAGGACTACAACAGGCTGGATGCTGTCCGAGACGCACAAAGGTTTAGCTTTCCGTCTCGATGTTGTGGAGCGACAATTTATGCTCTCGCCAAGGGTGTAGGCCAGACACTATTAGTCTGCTGCCGTACTGCTGCTGCACCCAGCTGAATCTGTTGGAGAACGTGCAGAGTACCGTTCCACGAGCAAGGGCGGGGTGGTATGTACTGCTGTAGACACCCAGCACATTCGCGTATCCGGACGTGAAGACGTGGGTAGGGGCAGACAGCGTAAGATCCCTCTGTTCTCTCTTGCCGAAGAACTACAACGCACCCTGGCATACCTAACGCAGCCAGAACTGCAGCGGCAAGCAGGAGGCACGGCTCTGGCCTGCTGCTGCTGTAGACAAGCTTCACGACGCTCTCAACACGCCGCCGTTTGCTTTTTCCACGACCTTCTACACTGCCGTGTATCGTCTACACATGACCACAGCATACCTAATGGATGAGTTGGGATAGGTCAGCCGGGCGAGAATACCCAGCTGCTCATTCAGCTCAGCGCCGTCTAGTTGTTCGGGCCGCGCCGGAAAAGCTGCCGTGCCTGCGCCCGCCCGGTCTCCGCTGGCACGGCCGCCATGTGCGAGGATGCCATCATCAGAGGGGCTAACGGCCGCAGCACCAGCACCAGCGCCAGCGGGAGTACCGCCGCTCTCGGCACGCTGCCAGGATCCTCCTTGCCGCAGAGCCTGCACCTTTCGCAGGCAAGAGGCCCACACCACGGTCCTCTCTCTCCGTTGAGTCGACAGGCTGGACCCCCAGCGTTGCTGCTGCTGCCCCTGCTGCTGCTGCTTCCTGCTACCTGGCGACGAGGCGGCGGAATTGGTGCGTCTACTAGACGAAGGTGGTGTACTGCTGCCAGCGCTACTCCCACCGGCCCAACGGTGAGGCCGTCGTTCGCCTGGCATCGGTTCCCAGCATGCACCTACTCTTGCCAATGTCCCTTGCGCGCTAGCGCGAACAAGCCCCCCCGCCAACCCTCTCTTCTTTGGGTTAACGAGAGACTGCGGGGAGTTCAACCCGTCCTGTGGAGGCGAGTAGGAAAAGGGGCTCTTCGGCATTTTTTTTCGAAGTGGATCTTGGCGCGCATCCACCCGCAGAGAGTTGACTCCAGCTAGCAGCCGAGGCAGCGACATGGAATACATGTTGCGACGCGAAGAACTTTCCCACTGTTGGAAAGTGAGTGAGATGAGGACGTCCTCCGGTGGGTAACGCATGGGGCAGGTATGTACGTGGAGAAGATGGAGAATCAAGTCGAGGCACTGCGTACATCCCCGCATCCGACAGCCCACAGCCGTGTTTCCTGATCGGTCTGATGCACAACCAGGCTACAGTCTATCAGCCGTGTAACCGTGAGTAGGCTGACATTACACCCTGAGTTCACCTTGATGTCACCAGAGTAGCCACGGTGATTTTTTTTTTGAGAGGAGAGAGGAGAGAGAAGAGAGGAGAGAGAGAGGTTTGACGATTTGACCACCGATGATGCGGTTGAATACTGTACGAACCGTCACCTGTCCCACCGCGCTTCCTAGACGCGGAGTGTGTGAGGGTGTACCGTTGTCGAGAGACGCACGTCTGGGAAGGGCATGTCTGAGGAAGGCGATAAAGATAGTGTTGGAAAATCTCCACCACCTGGCGTTTTAGACGACGCTGAAGCATGCAAAGGACTCGACCAGGAAGATCTGACAGCCCGAGTGAGGTGTGTTTATTTTACTCGTCATGTCCCTCTTCTTCCTTCCCAAATGTACCCATCACTTGCTTCGAGGGCGATCAAACGCAACCACACGCACTGACACTGACGTATCTTCATTGTACTGGTGGCCAGAGGGCCAGGTTGGGCACTGATCACAGCCTACCTGGGAGGACGAAATCGACCTTGAACACGTTGCTTTGTCGATGCTGCCAGCCCGCCGTGTAGTTTTGGTTGGAGCCACTACAATATCTGAGATGCGAGAATATCCGCACTCTTAGGCTTGAAACCTTCCCACCCCAGGTTGTAATTGGTGCCCTCTCTATCCATAACCTGACCTCTAGCCACCAGTGTGGTCTGTCGGTTAGCGAGGTCGATGCTCTGAATATAGACACGCATAAACCCGTCGCAATTCATTCCTACAGATCCCTTGAAAACGTTTTTAGCACACAAGTTCAGCCGCGCGATCTCCAGCATGTACATCAGGTTGGCAGTGTCCACCAAGGAAAGCAGCACCAACAGCAAGCGGCAAAAAAATGAATATTAAAAACTAGAAAAGTAGTCTACATACGTAGCTTCCTTTGTTCGTACATCTCATTTCGCGCGCGATTAACGGCCGCTGCATGAATACCGATAGAAAGCTGAATGAGGACCTGGAGGCAACCCGCATACCTCTTCACGACGTGCCCGTCGCGCTTGTCGTCGAAAGGATCACGCGGGAGAAGATAGCGGTGAGCGGCGAAACTAGTAAGAGTCCGATGACACTTAGCGAGTGAATAGTGCATTGTGCTGTGGCGTAGAACCGTGCGTGTAGAAAAATGCAGGCAACTGTGTGAGTTGACCAAGGTCAATTGCTCTTCCCCGGGCCTCCGACGGGGGGCAGGGAGAAATGTACCTAGATGGGCAGCACCATGAGAATAATAACCCCAAGAAGAGGACTACAAAAGTGTGTTATTGTTTCTTCGCATACTCATCACACAGAAATACCGGGTTCTCGTGGAACGCTTGTAGACTTTCAAAACACAAGTCTACAAGCGACAGAGACGGCTGGCATCTATGAGCTAGCCTTCCTAGACAACAAGTGTTTCCCCCCTAAGGTCCGTATTTTGGGCTGTTTAGCACGTTTGTCCGCCCCACCCCCCTTCCACCGAATGTCATATTCATTCCCCCGGGCAATCTCTCAACTACAGAAAAAAAGCTTTGTCGAGATCCCCCTGTGCCAGATTATTACATTTTCTACGCTCTAGCCCATTAGAGTCATTTATCGGGGAGGGGCGATGCTCAAAACAGTTCTACCTTTTCCCCCCACCATCCACCGTAGAGCAAGAGACTCCAACAGTGGCATCATCTCTCGTTTAACTCACCAATGTTATCTCTGTGTGTGGTAGTCACTGAAGGGTTCAGCAGCCCTCTTTCCCTCACCAAGAGACAAGCCTGTATGGTTGTTCTCGTTAGCAAACGGGTGTTCCTCGGCCAATGTGACATTGTGATTCGCACGCACAACTTTACCGTCTGCGGGTGTAGAGATCACTTCCTCCGACCCACGGTAACATTTACCTCACGCTGCAATAGAAAAATGTGAGACTTGTTCAACCTGGGGTAAGACCCTAGTACGTGACGAAGCAACAACTTTCAATTCTGTATTTCACCCCACCCACACGAACCCTGCTGCCCGCGCGCACTTCTCTGACCGACCACCCATCCATGCATAATCAGAGCTTCCCCACCCGATGCGCGCCCCCTTCCCCCTCTAACCCACTCCGCAACGAAAGCAGGCGTCGTGGTCCCGGCTGTGCCACGATGGGGGTAGACCCGGCGACGGCCGACATATCGCGCAGGTGGTGAGGTCGACATCGTCGCCGAGCTCTCCCGCCGTTGCGACGGCGACCGGAGCTTTTCGACACCATGCTACCGCCAGGAGCCTTGAGGAACAGGAGCGGCAGCCACAGCAGCAGCAGCAACGACAGCGTAGCCCCTTGACATGGGAGGGCGAGTACCCCCGGTCCCGCTACCGAGGGGACTTTTTCAAACCCCCGCTTTTCGATGACGAGCCTTCCGACAGCGACGACGATGAGTCTCACCAAGCGCCTCCTGGTGGCGTCGCTGGAAGCAACTAAAACGCCGAATGATGCTCTCGAAAAAAGTGTGTGCTGCCCAGGTTATATCGGCTATGTACTCCAACAACAGTTAATAATGCTGGCGGGAAGGAAGCGACACAAAAGCGGTTGAAGCAGTTACTCGTAAATATTTACAGCTGCCGTGGCCGCCGCTTCAATTTCTCGGCTGCTCCGGGCGTGAAGTTGGTCTACCAAATCTTCCCGTGCTACACCCGACGGCAAACAAGCCCCCGGCCACTATGGAATAATCGTAGCGAGCCCAACACCAGGAGGCAAACAAGCTCCCGGCCACCATAGAAATCGTGGCAAGTTCCAGAGCGCCAGGTGTTCGCTGGAACAGAAAGCACCCCGAGCTCGTAGTTATCACTTCCAGAAAACGGCTGCTCAACGACGTGCAATCCACAGAAATCAGCAGCCTGTCCCAAAGTGGCAGCCAGTGGGAAATGGCGAAACAAATTAGAAATCATAGCGGCAGGTATAAGATTAGATAGCGCTTGCCGCGGGCTGTGTACTCTTGTACAAATTTCTGTTCGCGGAGGGGGGCGAGAGGAGGGAACCAAGGCCTTAGGTGGGGGGGGAGATCGTCATCGCGTGCTATGTTAAAGGTACAGAACGGTTGCTCGCGATACGTTTGTGCCAACGTAGATAATAGTGGTACATTTGTATCGGTCATCAGCAGGAGCAACAGCAGCAGCAGCAGCATGTCAAGGTTGATGTCTGCCGTGGAAGTGACAGAGCGGGCGAGCAGGCGAGATAAAGCTCCAAGCCTACAATGTAGCTCCATACTCTGCTGCAGGGACGGCAAACGATATGTCTCTTTTAGCCTGACTATTGTGCTGGTGTTCTCACCGTCGTACAATTTTGTTGGCATTGTTCATCCCCAGTATTCCTCTTTCCCCCTTTCCCCCCCAACCATATCGTCTAGGCGGTTTTGGGCGAAGGGGGTGCTGGGGTTAGCTATTGTGTATCACCCCCCATTTGTTTCTCTACCGTTCTTCATTTAAGCTTAACTACAGTAGTACATATAAAATATTTATGGTACGTTGGGTAGTCTGGAGTTCCCAGCAAAGGTATTGATGACATTTGTCTCGGTGGGAGCGCCTGAAAGTTTTATGCTCTTGTATGTCTCGTGAAGGGTTCGCCTTGCGGCACCAGTTCGACCACCGCCCTCATGTACGGCAGCGCATGAGTACGGTGCGGCACAGAAAAAAGCAAAAGACGAATGATTGGTTCCACCCATTGCTCGAAAGAAACGCCATGGGAGAAAAAAAATGGTCATTATTGCGGCACAGATAGTAGAGTAGGAGTGGTGGTGGTGGTGCCACCGATGACAGCCGAGAGTACCAGCGGGGTGGCGAGAGTTTTTTTTTTTTTCTCGTGCTCGTTTCATTGGAGAGAGGAAGGTCAAAGACACTCATCATCCCTCTGACTGCCGGTTGATCCGCAGGCACTCGCTCCTCCTCCAAAGACCAACAACGGTCGACCCCTGCTGTGTAGAATTGTTTTCGACAAGGACCCTCCCCCCGTTCGAATCATCCACCGCACCTACCCCCCTCCCCTTCTCGTTCTGGGTCCAGCTCTGAATATTGCCTTTGAAACGAAGCGTGAAAAACCATTGTTAGCAGAAATAAATACCAAAATTTCATCCAAATATCTGTTTTTCAATGGGAGAAGGGAAGCCCACGAAACCCGACTTAGAAGAGCAGATGTATTGTTCTTAGCATGTGTCAAGATCCCTTCGCCAGTCGAGTTCTTAAAGAATGCTGCACCACGGAAGATCCGCTGCATGAATTTTCTTCAAACAGATCTTGTCTTCTTATTTTGAGAGGTGCGTAGAGGTATAACCTACTACGCATTGGGCCGTCGCGTCGGAGACAAGCCCCCAAATCGTGGCTCTACAACTACTTTACAGAATTGATTTATTATTTGTTCTGCAACTCTTCCCGATTGGTCGTACGGCGTGTGTCGTGTGCGATTGCTGGGTGCCCCCTCAGCCGTTTTCGAATCAATCAGTCAAAGCCAAGAAGATTGATTGTCAACCAACTTTGTGTACTTTGCTGTAGTCCGGGAGGTATACAAGTTGGCGGTTCCAGTAAAGAAC